AGCCGGTTTCCCTGGGGGGGGGACTGGGGGCTTGCACAGAGCTGTTATCTGTTTGCGGTCTTAGGGCTGGGTTAAACACCTTTTTAAAGGCTCTTTAGCCTAAACATCGGCCAAAAACGTGTTTGTCATCGTGCTAACTTCCCACCGCAGCGTTTTCTGAGCGCAAATGGGTCAGCGAAAGGGCTAGCTTGGATTTTTAATTTTTTTCTAGCTTGTCCTGTGAAGAAATATAAACGTTGATCTTTTTGTAGTGTGCCAGGCACATAGTAGAAATTTTGATGATTAAACTTTTCGTTGAGGAGATACTCTTCTTGAGGAGACTTTCAAGGGGGCCTCTTCTTTGTAACTTTTTCTGTGGTTTTTGAAGGAAAAGGAGTCATCTGCCTCCCGTGAAGCTGGACCAAACGGTGCCAGTTCTTTTATTTCATTTGCACGCATTTGTATTTTACGTTCGTGTTTGTATTGTGTAAGATAAAATAACGTTAAGTGAAGTACCACTTTTTTGTTTGTTTTAGGCTGGATATTGTTGTTTTTTCTCATTTTCATTTTGGGGAAGTGACGCTAACGTGTGGCACGCGTACGAGTGGCATGTTTTGGCTGCCTGGGCTTCCCTGGGAGTTACTGAACCATGCAGGATTTAATTGACATGTGCCATCTTCCAGGATCTGGATGTCTGTGGCAAGGCAGAGGTCAGAACTAGTTTAACATCAGCGAAAAGATTTGGATCCCTTCACAGCCTATGCAGAACTTTTTTCATTTTTCCATTTCTGTTAACTTCTGAAAGTAAAACGACCTGTGATTGTTAAACCCAGTGTGGATCCTCAGGAGGAGGCAGTGGAGGGAATGCTGGCACAGCCCGGCTATGGGCATTTTGGCCTCAGTACTGTTTTTGCTCTTGTTCGAGTGATGTGGTGTTATAAATGCTGGTGTTTGCACCAGTGTTTTCTCACGGAGGTGAGAGCAGGAAGGAGAAATGCTAACGTGAATGGACTTTGCTTTGTTAACGTTAATGGGACTTTTAAATGTTTCAGTTATGATTCTTCTGAGGTGTTCTAACTGGGGTTAACAAGAAACAAAGCCCTTTCTTTCCTTTTAAAGTCACTTTTGGTGAAAATAAGCTTAGAGCTGCACCATCTTTCTCTTGTTAGGTAGCTTTCTAGGATGCAGTGGGAAGACCAGCAGACTCTGTTAAGTATCTTCTTTAACTTTGACATAGAATCATAGAATCATAGAATGTTTTGGGTTGGAAGGGACCCCTAGAGGTCATCTAGTCCAACCCCCCCGCAGGAGCAGGGACACCGCTAACTAGATCAGGCTGCTCAGAGCCCCGTCCAACCTGGTCTTGAATGTTTCCAGGGATGGGGCCTCCACCACCTCTCTGGGCAACCTGTTCCAGTGTTTCACCACCCTCATTGTAAAGAACTTCTTCCTTATATCTAGTCTAAACCTACCCTGGTTTAGTTTAAAACCATTACCCCTTGTCTTGTCACTGCTGGCCCTACTAAAAAGATTTTCCCCGTCTTTCCTATAGGCCCCCTTTAGGTACTGAAAGGCCGCAATCAGGTCTCCCCGCAGCCTTCTCTTCCCCAGGCTGAACAAGCCCAACTCCCTCAGCTTGTCCTCATAGGAGAGGTGCTCCAGCCCCCGGATCATTTTTGTGGCCCGTCAATGTGATGTTGTATGCAGTTGTTAGTTTTGATGGAGGACTTCTGAAAATAAGAGAAATCTGGTGGCATTGAAGTCCATCAGGTAGGACAGATCACCGTAAAATCATAGTAAGTGCATACTGTAACTCTTTTTCATTTTTTCTTCTGCTTCTAGATCCTCATTTATTTTACCTACATTAAGTGATGGAAACATACACTAAAGAAAAAAAATCACCCTTGGGTCTTTGGGATTCATATTTGTGTGAAAGAATCTAGTATGTTCCAAGAAAACACATCAGCCAATTGCTTAAATATAACAGCAGCATCTGCTGAAGATGGTGCTTTCCAAAAAAAAGGCCATAGTGTAAGAATCCTTAGCCCAGAAGAAGCTGAGAGACTGGCAAAAGATCAGGTTTTGGTATCTGAGTTCAAACAACTAAAACTGGAGAAAGAGGCACAGAAGAACTGGGATCTATTTTACAAAAGAAACAGCACCAACTTCTTCAAAGACAGACATTGGACAACGAGGGAGTTTCAAGAGTTAAAAGCATGTCGGGAGGTGAGATCTATACACTTCCTCTGTAAACCATGGGATTGATTGTTTCCAAATTATTTAATAATACTTATAACAAAGACATTAGGGTAAGAGCTGTCACGTGTTAAGTTTGCAGTGCTCTGTGTAGTTTCTCCTAATATCAAAGATACCTCCTCAGAATCAGATGCATTGGTTAGATTTCAGTTTATAATTAACCCATACTGGATACTAAGAATGAAGCCTAGTATATTTGTTTTGTGTCCTAAATAGAAAACACGTCTCTCTGTGATGTGACGTTTTCAGATGCAAGTTGGTGTACTTCAGAACACTCCTTTAAAGAAAAGCATTCAGAATTACAGGCTAATTGCAAAATATCATTAAGGGGAATAGCCAGATGCATCTGTTGTTCATTACAGCTGAATGAAGACAAGACAGAAATGGTACAACAATCTGTTGATTACTTAAGGGGTAGATGACTAAAGAAATATTAATATATTCTAAAAAGATTTGTAATTTTGCTGAAATCAAGATTTCTGTGTTGTAGTGCCAGATTATCCAATGGATGCCTACTTTGGTTTTTGAATCAGTGGTAATTAAAATTGATTATAGCTTTTAAAATGCTGATTGATCAGTGTCTCTGCTCATGTTGTGAGAAAAACAAAATGACATGCTTTATCTTGGACTTCTTCCTCCACAGTTTGCAGATCAGAAACTGACCATCCTGGAGGCAGGCTGTGGGGTTGGGAACTGCTTGTTTCCACTCTTAGAAGATGATCTGAATATTTTTGCATATGCCTGTGATTTCTCTCCTAGAGCTGTTGAGTATGTGAAGGTTGGTGTGATATTTGGAACTTCCTTTAGTGTCTCTAGAAGCTTCTGAAATTACAAATGACTGGAACAACGGGCTTCTCTTGCCTTCCCTTTTGTAAGAAGGGTAGAATAGCTTTTGCCAAAAAAAGGAGACTGATCCATTTCAGTGGAGCTCCTATGCAAGAAGCCAAACCGTTGCTCAAGACCTAGTGTTTCAGAGTCAAATTGTAGCATTATGGTAATGTCATCTGTTGGAAGTTAATGTTCTTTTGCCACCATGTTTTGTGCCGTACTACTGATTAGTTTCATAAGTTCTTTACTTTATTGCAGTAACAAGTGCTGCTAATTTTCAGTGAAAGCATACTCTTTTCATTTCCCTAGAAAAATGCCTTATACAGTACTGAAAGATGTAAAGTGTTCCAGTGTGATCTTACCAAAGATGATCTTCTAGAAAACATACCGGCAGATTCTGTGGATGTTGTCACACTTATATTTGTGCTTTCTGCCATTCATCCTGACAAAATGCATCTTGTCTTGAAGAACATTTACAAGGTAAAATCAGCTGGTTTTACAGCCTTTAAAGCTCCTTTCTTCTTCTTAGCTTGAAAGTACAAATTTTTTCTGAAAAAATAACCCCTATTGTGATGGTGATCTTTAATACTATATTCCGTGGATGTATTTAGTTAGTTCACCTAGTATACAGGACTAAAATATGTTTTACAGTGTATATTTTTCTCTCTTGGTATTATGAGGTTGTTTGGATTCTGGCCTAATAGATGCCATCAACATAATTTTGAATACCATCAACAGGTATTTTGAACCTGTGACTTGCGCTCCTAGGTTGTATGCTATGAATAAAGTTTACGGATTGCAGAAGTGTCTGTGTTGATAAGGTGTGAATGACAGTGAACCAAATTTGACTTCCAGAAGATAGAGACCTGCAGTTAGGGTCTTGTTGTTATTAAACACTCTTGATTTGTGGTGATTTAGAAGTGGGGTCTTCAGAGATCAACATTAATCTAGAGAGACTCATCTCCCTGGGCTGCCTTTGTTAGTTGATAGACTAGGATCCAGGGGGTGTTTTAAACAATCTGAGTTGTGATTGTTCTGAATTTCCCTGAGATGTCATATATTGACTGCAGAGGGAAATAGTCAACATATTTTTTGTTTATGCATATGTGTGTGTTTGTGGTTTTATATTATCAGATATCCTGTTTGTTTTGTCATCCCTAGTTTGAAAAGGGAATGTTAGATTTTTTTGGTATATCTCCAGCTGTTTTCCAAAGTCAGGATTGGTTCCTAGCTCATGCACGAGAAAAGGCTAATTATTGTTTTCTCTGTGGAGATGCCTGGCTCATTTAACTTGCTTGTAGCTTTCTGCACAAATTTGCAAGTGGCAAATACTTCTTTCTCCTCTAACAAATAGAGCTGGTATTTGATGAGGTAGGAAAGTTGCATGCATCAAATGTCTAAAGTCAGTATGGCCAATGACCATGTATTTCTAAATTTTAAATTCTTTATGGCTTCATTTCTTTACCAAAGAGCAATTAAAAAAAAAACCCAAACCACAACCCATTTTTCCTGAAATTGTTCCTTTTTGATTTCTTATTATATTGCAACATTTTTCTTTCTCACATGAAAAAAGAAATGTTATGGTATTCTAAGTTTTAATGTTAATCATTAAGCAAAATCAGATGCTAGACTGTATACTACCCAACAAAGAAAATGCCCTGTTAGGACTTAGTTTTTATTGTTAAACTGTATTTTCTTCTTTCTTCTGTATTTTAATAATGTTGCAAAAAGCTTATTTAGCTGATCAGCACCTAAACAGGTCTTGAAATTATTTGTAGACTACTATTAATGGAGAAGCATTTTTAAAGAGCGGACAATCCAGTTTGTATGCAACTTTTTTGTTGCACATGGAATGAATTCAATATATATATATTTAACTTCTGTATTGAATATGTTAGGACACCTTGTCTTATATGTGTATACAAATAAATATATATATATGGCTAAATCTTACCTTATTAAAGCGTATATGTACTCTGTGACAGGTATTAAAACCAGGCAAGTGTGTCTTGTTCAGAGACTATGGGCTGTACGATCATGCAATGCTCAGGTTTAAATCAGGCAGCAAACTTGGAGAAAACTTTTATGTTAGACAAGATGGGACAAGATCGTATTTTTTTACTGAAGGTAAGACATACTGTAGAGCGCTTTCTTTTCTGTGAATCTTTTGCTTAAACTTGCTTAAAGGAATTGCCAACATGCCCATGGAAGTTTTGTTCTACACAGATGAACTGTTAAATAGCGGTGTACTTCATTTGCCGTCCTTTTTGAGGGGAAGGTGATACTTAGACTGGCAGGACTTTTTGGAGCACTTTCTTGTTTACAAGCTTCTTGTACATGCTATAATGTGCCAAGAGCACTGGTTTCTGAATTTACTGAATTTCATTCAGATTTGTTATCTAAGGGAAAAAGACCAATGTTCAGTAAAATAATTTATCATCTCCATGAAGCAACTAAGCAGTTATTTTGGCATCATTCGTTTTGCAAGGCTATTCCTGGTGTGCAAGATGAGGTCTACTGAAGAAGTCAATGGCTTCTAAAGCGGAACCATGACTAGAGCACTGAGAAGCTTGTGCACAGATCCTGCTGAGATAGCACTGACTAACTGTGTTCACTGTCTCTTCTGGTTTTCAGTAAAGATGATGCAAAAAGCAGTTCCATGTGATACAGTATTTAAAACAGCTTTTCATTTAGTGCTCACAATGCTTTAGGAAGGAAGCTAATTATTGCAGTTTACTGGTGGGGAAATTAAAGCAGAAAGACATGAAGGAATTTGCTTAGACTCTCACAATGAGTTGGGATTATAGTTTGTCTCCTAACTCCCGGTTCCTCATGCTAGACTTCAGTGAACTATTACTTCCCCTTATCAATTATAGGTCATTGTGTAATAAGAACGGTGTGTTTATTTCTGTGGGGCTCTTTGTTCTTCGTCTAAAGCAAAATACAGCCACTGAAGAGACTGATTTGGAGCCACGTAAATGTTATTCATATTTTATGACCTAATTGCTTCTGATATATAAAAACATTAATCTTGTCTGACATCTTTCTATTCTTTACGGGACAATGATGAAACCTGAGATGAGGCAGGGTGTGCTACGACTTAATTGAAGCATTTCTAGAACTGTTATTTATTGAGTGATTTTTAGTTCTCTTTAAACAATTATCTCTTACAAAGAGAATGGAACCTAAAGGGAACAAATAAGACACTGTGGAATTTTAAGTAAGAGACTGTAGAATTTTAAATCCCACTTTTATTGTGTATTAGAATTGTTTCTGAATGAGAATTTCCTTGCTTGTATGCATGTTTGTTTTGGGGGAAGAATTGAGGTAGGGAAGAGAAAGAGGAAGGAAGGAGAAAAAAGAGACTTTATCTTATATTGCTTGTGTTAGCAATTGTTTTGCCTTGGGCTGGTCTGTGACTGTCTCATGCACCACCTCTACTCCCATTTTTAATTATTGTAATCTCATTCATCTCACTAATTTTGATATAAATATTGCTTAATGCTTGAAAATTCTTTTGTTACTACAAATGTGACTCTCATCATTTCCGCGCAGTTTGCAACTCATGCTATTTTTCATTTGTTTGGCACTCCACTGGTACACCAAATAATTGCTGCATGAGGTGATTTGAATGATGTTTATTTATAATATCTCTAGCCTCAGATAACAACACTGAGCTGCTTCCATGGGAAAAAAAAATCCATCCTTCCAGTGTTTGAAGTAATATTAAATTTGTGGAGGAATGCATGGTTGTAATTTTGTGTTATGAAATATGTGCAACTTCCTCACAATGAGATTTCAATAGGTCCAATATTAAGTGCTGTTTATTTATATGTCATTGATGTGGGTCCCCCATTTTACATGAACACACCATGTTTACAGCCAGTGCATGTGGCTTCATGATGGGCTTAGGTTGATTTCAGCCTGCACTACCACCAAAGTGGGTGGTCTCACCTTCTTTCCTCAACATACCACCTCTTCTAGTGCTGGGGTTCCTGTACCCCCCTGATCAGCCATTTCATCGAGCTCTGACCCCCCCAAACAGTGAAAAAATGGCATGCCTTTGTTTTCTATGAAGTAGCACAAGGTTAGAATGGCTTCAATTTATTGTGAAATTGCCACCTGAGTAAATGAAACAAAGTGCAGGAAAGGAAAAGTAATGATTTTTAATTAACGTGACAAGTCAATAGCATGAGCAGCCCCTCTCTGCTGCTTAGGTCACCCTGTTGGTGAGGTACTTCTGCTTTCCCTCAGGGAGATACACTTTGAGTAAAAAATTCTTTTCTTTATGGAAAATTCTTTCAGTTTGACTTAGTAGAGGCTTGGTACTACCATATCCATTTTGCCATTTTGTCCATTTTTCTGTTGAGCAATGGCATATGAATGTGTGGTAACGTAGGGTGGTATTCTTCTTCAAGCAGAGAGGCATCTATAAGGCTGGATTACCTTTGAAGTATTTGAAATAAGTGATGTATTCAGCTAGTGAAGGTCAGCTGCACAAAGTGAAAATGCACTGGCATCAGTCACAAGAAGAATGACAAAGCTCAGTAAAAATGAGAGATGTGTCAAGTTTTAGAAACTAAGCTAGCTAGCTTAAGCCCCAGTTTTGCAAGCTGTTTTGCTTAGGTTGATGTTTCCAAAGGAGATCTGTACTGATTTTTATTCAGTGGTCTGCCTGCATAAAACAGCTTGAAATCTGAAGGCCTGTGTGATTTTCATGCTGTAACACATAAGAACATATGCTTATATAATTGCTGACTAGTGTTTTAAAAATAGCTTAAACATAATATTTCATCTTACATTTTTTTTAAATTCTCTTCCAGAGTTCTTGGCTCAGCTTTTCAAGGCTGAGGGATACGAGCAAGTGGTCAATGAATATGTGCAGCGAGAAACTGTGAATAGGAAAGAAGACTTGCGTGTTCCAAGAGTTTTTCTTCAAAGCAAATTTCAAAAGCCTTTCAGTAAGACATAAGTTCTTGCTGATTAGCAACAGCTTGTTGAAATAGAAGCTAGCACGTAGTTTTTACTTGTGTGTGCTCATCTTTCTGGTAAACCAGAAATGACTGCATCCAGTACCTTTTGTTGGTTTTCATCCCCAGACACGAAATATGAATGCTATTTCTAATTCAAATTTAAGATGGGTTAGTGATGCAGGCAACCTGTTGAGTATCTGTGTTCCTGCTTCTAAAGTAAAGCTTGTGCAGCATTGTTGGAGGATCAGGTAAAGCACACTAAATATGTTTAATTTTAAGCACTAGTTTTCATTAGTTATTGTCATAATTGTTATTTCCATTTTTATTAAAAACTATTTTTTAAATAAGTATCCTGTGTTTCCTATCACATATGTTTTTTGTGGCCGGTTAAAGTTATGGTATTTCATCTGCTTTCTGTACTTGCAGGACTTCTAAGTATAATTTCTCAGATAGGGGAATGAAACAGACTCAGTGAGTGGTATAATGTAAGCTGCTTTGGTATTTTAATAATGGTATCTTTTTAATGTGCTCAGCATTCAGATATGTAAACAAATGTTTATATTCTAAATAAGATCCTCATTTATCTGATTTCATGCTTGGAGAAAGTTGTTAGAGGATCAGGGTTGGTTTTAGCCCTAATTAATTTCAGATGTTCTTTGTTTGATGAACAGAAATAGTTGAGTTTCCCACTTGGAACTGAAATCAGTGAGTCAGAAGTACTTTCTTTTATATCAAGTGTAGTCAGCTGCTTCTTCCCTGAGCAGATGTTTTAATTTTTTTCCATCACTCTCAGGAAAGGTGTTGGTCTTTGCTGTTCCTATCACCAAAAGCCACTGCATTAATGCTGTGGCTCATAGCCAGGCACAGACCTGACTGCTTGAAGGGACTTCATCCTTTCTCTTCAATAGCCCTGGCGCTTTGCACTGCAGAACCTCTTTGTTCTTGGATGATACAATCTCAGAAACATGCCTGGATCTTTAACCAGCATTTTGAACAGCTGCTGTGCAGCAGAGGAAGCTCAGAATTATCCGGTGACTTGTGCAATGGGCTTTGCTGGTCTTGTGTAATGTACACAAGTTGCAACAAGGGAAATTCCAATAAAATACTAGGATTTTTTTATTTTTTGTGTGTAAGGGGAGGTCAGACATTGGGACAGGGTCCAGAGAAGTTGTGGAACCTCCGTCCTTGGAAATACTCGGAAATGGACTGGACAAGGCCTTGAGCAACCCGTGGCTTTATTTGAGAGCGGACCTGTTCCAAGTAGGGATTTCATCTCTGTATATATTAGTATATGATTTATTGACTCAGGCTGTCATTCCACTGGATTTGTGTGTTGCTAGATGACCCAGTCATACACATCTGATGTGGACCAGAGGTATTTGCCTCTGTTCATGACAAACTAGCTATAAGATGTGGTGGCGATTTTTTTTTTTTTTTTTTTTTTTTTTTCTCAGCACTCTGAACACTGGCTGTGTGTGCGTGGAGGCAAAGAAAGTAATAACTTTTCCAGCATAAAGCCTAATGTAACAAAGCTAACCAGTCAGAATTTTTTGAACAAATTGGAGCTGCCAGAGGTCTTATTCAATTGATATGTTTATAAATAAATTTGTAGCAGATCATTGCTTTATATCAGGGCACCACAGCTTTTTTTTTTTGGTCTGATACCATGAGCTCCAAAGCTGGATTTATTGTGTGATCAAACTTTGGCCTCAGAGGAAAAAGAAATTAAGCCACACAATTCTTCTAACGACTCTTTGAGGAGGGTTATTACATGACATCTCCTTTTTTTATGGGGAATATCATCCCAGGGATTTATGCATTGCTGACCCCTACTGTGCAACTCATTAGCACTTTCTGCCATACTAGTAATAAATATCTAGTAACATTTATAGTAAATGAAAAAATATGTTTAAAAGGGTACAACAATGATAGCATTATTATAATCTGAGTAATCATCATTTTGTGGCTTCTGTACAGCAGTTCTGCAGTGACTGTGTGTAGTCTGAGCTCTGTTGATTTTTAGGGGGGTTTGAACCCTGTAACACCAGGTGCCTTACAAGACTGAATGTTTGGTCCTTTCAGAGTATACAGCACATAAATGAGACTGAAGGATTGCCTTGTGTGGCTCCTCGTCACTTTGGCATATGATTGTCAGCATATGCAAAGGCAAGTGTACTAAAGTGAGCATCCCAAAAAGGAAATTTAAATGTAGGCAAGTATTAAAAATATTAATTGGAAGGTTTGAGTAAACCCAATAGACTTAGCTGCAGCCAGCCATTGACTTCCTTTTTATACTGATCTAACTGTTGCCTGAACAATGATACTCCTTTTTGTGGCTGTAGCTTCAGTGTTTCTGTGTGTTTCTACTTGAGGAATTACTGTCACTTTTTGAGTAGCAATACATTAAATGGAGAATAGTAGTTCAGTCTCATTTCCAGTCAGACCTGGAAAATAAAGTAGCATGCATTAGCGCCCTTGCCAGAGATGCCTTCAGCTATAGCTTTCGTAAAGCACAGATTGTTTTGAGAAGAGTGGTCAGAAAGCTTTATTTGGTCTCTATGCATGTGCTTCTGTGAACTCTAAATCATTGCAATTTTTCTAACTGTGGTAAAGTTTGAGGAAGTTGAGTCAGCTTTCAGAAATCCTTGCCTCATCATGTGCGACACAGTAAATGATTGGTACTTCCCCCCGCAACCCTTCAGCCTTTCCAAGCTCATGTAAGCTCACCAGAGGTAGCACATGCCAAGCATGCCTGTACCTCCTATCCTTACTTGAAGAATTGTCCTTAAGGAAGTGTGGTAATCAGGGCAAACTTGGAAAAAATATACATGCACTGACTCATGGTCACCTTGCACAAATAAGCTACTATGCTGTGATTTTAATAAATATCTTGACTGTTCTTTGATTTAAATTGTCTTCAATCAATGGGGGCTGCTGAGACTGACTCAGTTGTCTGTGGAAGACCTTCCTTTTGTTTCCCTTAAACTGAACCAGCTGCTCTGTCTGGCAAGCATAAGTGCTAAGTTACTTCATGCCATCACCTTGTTCTGAGCAATATTTAGAATAGAAGCAAATAATTATTGTAGTAGTAGGACTAAGAAAAGTCAGTTTCTTTATTTTTTTAAATGTTTTTATGGTTTGGTGTGCTGTGTTTACATTCTCTGATGTTTAATAAAGTATGAACTTTGGTAAAAGCTTTTCCTGCGGTTAGGGAATCCTAAATATCACTTTCTAGAGTGGGATTCTTTCATGTCTCCTACTGGAATTAGACAGCATATATTAAGGGGTCATGTTAATGGGGCAGTGAGTCAGTGAGGACATTAGTAAGGTCTGTTTCTTGGCTATTTTCATCAAATTTACAGTAATATAATGTCTTTGAGTCTTCTGACATTTCATGTCCTTTACATGTTCTGCCAAATTTTAGTTGATATTGTCCAATGTGTTTGACAACAGGCTAAGACTAGACAGAAATCCACACATGTATTGTGCATGTACTGTATGCATGGGTAAACTTTCTTTCCTTAGGAATATGGGCTACTGAGAAAAATCCATTCGAACTTTCAAGTAGTGGTATCACAGCAGGTTTTGTGTTGTTCGTTTGATAGCTAAAAGGCTATTTCTGTACATCTTTCAGGTACCTGAAGGTTCCTTGAGTTCTAAAGGCATAATATTTAAGCAGTTAATAGAACATTATTCTCATGTTTGATTGTGCATCATTTCTATGAAATGAAGTGCTATAAAAGTGGGACCTAAAACTCTAGCATGTATAAGCATCAACAGCCAACTGTAGAACATACAGCCTTGGTCTCATAGGAGGAAACTGGTATATGAAATCTGAAAGGTCATTTATCAGCCTAACTGATGTCCTTTTTTTATTTTTTTCTTGATTTATTGTACAGTTTATACATCTGAATATATTGGGAGATACAAATTACCAGTTAGGAAGTATTTTACTGGAAGAGTTATTTGAAAGATACATATATATTTGGAGAGGATATCAGTGTTGAGCATCGGTATGTAAGGAAAAAAGGTAAGATTACATTTAAGCTTCTGGGGAAAAAAAGGTTTTCTGAGTTTCACAGGCCAAGGATGACATGCAATTAAATGAGTTGTTCATCTAAAAGGTGAAATTTTGGGACTGAAAGCCTGCAGCTTCCAAAATGAGACCAATGTTACTAGACAGGCAGAAGGGCGACATCTAATTGTGTGCAATAGTAGTAATACACGTAAGGCGATCTGGGAAGTAGAATTTTATATTGGAAAGACAGCATGAAGGTACAGTTAATGAAAATAGGTAAGTTTGCTTATGGATTTTTATCTTCCATAATGTAGCTATGATGAATTTTTCACTGGTTATGTTTGTTATTATTAGGAAAGATTGCGAGCCATTTCAAACATTTGGGAGGAAACACTTGCTAGTTATACATTCTGCAAAAACATCTGGCCCTTGGGTGCAGTAGGTTCAGGATATGAGTGTGTTTGCACTGTGTATTTGTAATGTGAGTGCATTTATTAGAACAAAGGCAGATGGTGAGCCTGTACTGTGGGGCAGCACATAGAGGCATTGCTTGCAAAGATAAAAGCTATTAGCCAGGTAAGATGTTCCATTAGAGAACTTCTTTCACTCCTGGTTCCCAGGCTAATGTGTACCATTTGTTGTGTTTGCAGCAGGGAGATAATACTGCTGCTGTGAAATCAGGGAAGGCAAGGGCACAAGGAAAAGTGTGTGTGATATTTCCCCCCCCCCCCCCCCCCAAAATGACTGGTGATTTAAATGATTGTGGGTTGGGAACACTTATCCCCTTTTCCAGCAAGTCTTAGGTGTCATCCTTGGAAAACTGAGTTGCTTTTGAAGGTCTTTGCCAAAGACACAGGTGTAACCAATGTGTGCTTGTAGATTATGTGAAGTGAAAGATTTGGAAAGGCAGCTGTGTGACTGAAAATACAAATCCAGATTTGTTTTTCTGCCTTTACTTGTAAGAAGATTTATGCTTCGCTGTCACTACAGTGCTTTTTCAGAGTTCCCACTCTGGGAACAGCACTGTGTGCTGTCTTATCATTGTTTAAGCTAAATGTCCCCTGTCAACTCCAGCTCACGTTTCGCATGCCTGTAGTATCCAGAGAACTTAGAACAGGTATAACTGAGGGTAGTTG